ACATGATGAATGGTCTCAGGGTGCTTTACTGTTGGCATGACACAGGGCTGATAGTAACGCTCACCTTTTCTTTTCCGGGCAAGCTTTTTTCCGGATGCCCCAAACAATCGAAAAGGAGATTCATCAGAGAAAATGACTTGACCCCAGTCCTCAGCAGTCCAATCCCTGTACCTTTTGCAGAATATCAGTCTGTCCCTGATGTTTTTCCTGGAGAGAAGTGGCTTCTTTGCTGCCCTTCTTGCCCCAGCAGCTGAATCAGCTTTATGAGACGTCCTGGCGCTTGCTGGACTTGCTGGGCGCCCTGAAGCCTTCTTCACAACAATTGAACCTCTCTCCTTGAAGTTCTTAACGATCCGATAAATGGTTGATTTAGGTGCAATCTTACTAGCAATTCATCTGATCACTCTTCATAACACTCTGGAGTATATGCAAATTGCCATCATAAAAACTGAGGCAGCAGACTTTGTGAAAATTTGTGTCATTCTCAAAACTTTTGGCCAAGGGTATACAGTAGAACTCATTCAGCTTGTCTGCCAGGCATTGGTCGTTCATGGAGTGGGGGGTTTTAGGTTTGTAGTTTATCTGTCTGAGACCTCTCCAGACAAGCAGAGTCACTTGCTGAGAGCTGGTGTTGCAGTTTCTCAGAGTACAGTTGTTTAGCGTCTCTCACCGCCTTACTAAACCTGTATTTATCTTTGTACAAGTCCTTGTCCCCACTCCTAAATGCCTGATCCTTTTTCAATGCCTGATCCTTGGTTTGTCATTGTTGTAACTCACCCTGGTGCTTGTTGCCACACAGCTGTCCTCACAGAAGCTGATGTATGAAGTCACAGCCTCTGTGTACTCATCCAGACTGTTGGTAGCAATCCTGAAAACGTCCCAGTCTGTACAGTCCAAGCACGCCCGAAGATACTCCAGAGCTTCACTGGTCCACTTCTTGAATGTCCTCACTACAGGTTTACAGAGCTTGAGTTTCTGCCTGTATGCAGTAATCAGATGGACCATGACGTGGTCAGAGAGACCCAGTGCAGCACGAGGGATGGCGTGATAGGCCCCGCTGATTGTGGTGTAACAGTGGTCCAGAATGTTCTCCTCTCTGGTTGAGCATTTAATAAACTGTCTGTATTCAGGGAGTTCATGACTGAGGTTTCCTTTGTTAAAGTCACCAAGGACAATGACTAGAGAGTCCAGGTTGGTCCGCTCCACACACATAAACAATAAACCCTGGAAAGAACTCAACAGTTGAGGTAACTGGTCCAACTGTTCCGGTGTTACGTCATGCTCGTAACACCCTGCGGTGGCATGTAAGAAAACAGTATTTACAACAAAAACAACACAAAACAATGAGCATCAACACACCGTAATACAATAAACAAAACAATAAGGTCACAACTGATTATGACTGGTACATTATACCATTTTTAAAGAAGGAATAAATAAATAGCAATAAGGATGATACGCATGCCAACATGTGAATAAGGGGTACTGCCACTTTTTCCACTTCAAGCTGTTTATGTAAAGATAGAGAGGAGTAATGTCCACATGAGCAGAGAATGAAGTCTCTCTCCCTGTGTGTGTTGATATCACAGCTTCTCCTCTTTTTGTTCTCAATGCCAGCCGGCCGTGTGCTTTCTTTACATGTTAGTGCATGTGAGCATGCTCTACTGGTTAGCTCATAGACGTCGCTCTGCACTGCTCTCATACGGCGGTTACAGCTGATAACGTCCAGACCGACGGCATCGTAGTTGAAGTGTAACAGCGCCCTCGGGTAAACACCGTTCTGTCAACACATTTCAGTTGTTTGTACTGCTCTGTCTGCACTGCGCTGTTTGCACCGTTAGCTGCGAGCTGTCGACATGTTGAGAGATGTTGAGAGGAAATGGAAATATTCCCAATCTGATGTTATGCACCTTTAACCTCTAACCTGAAACAAGGCTTGCTGTTGGTCATTCCTCAACATTGACTCACAATGACCTCTGACCTTCACTCTGAGCCTTAACAGGCTTCTGTTGTTTGAGGTGATGATAACAGAAGATTGATCATTCTTCTTTCATATGTATTTTTCTGTCATTGACAAAAATGTTTTAAATATGCAGTTTTAAAAAAGCAAAATACACAAAGTAAATGCTTGGCCTCATTTCGTCTTATCTTATCACAGTTATGGTATCAGCAACATAATTTAAAAACCCTTCTCTTCAGCATCTGATTACACATAAATGAGGTTGTGGTTGACCAAGGTCTTTATTTCCATGAATATGTTTTTATTCCCGCTGGTGCTATTCCGTTGATCCTGGAAAAGCTAGGAATGGTATCCTCATGGGATGCTGCTACGCTGCTGTTCAGCTACAGTCCCTGGACAGGTTATTAGAGCAGCATTGCAGAATTGCAGCCTGGCTGGTTTGTGAAACTCCCTCATGCTCCAGCTGTGCTTGCACTTTGTATTACTGAATTAAAAAGAGGAAGACCTGAGATTTTCATAAGGACACGTGTTGTTTGGAATTGTATTTTCCTTTGAAACATGTTAAACGAGTTTATACCGCTAAGCAGATAATCCCTGTATATCACTGTGTAACACTGTATAATATAGAGTGTATATTGAACCTGAATGTTCTGGACCTTGGATATAGCAGTTTGGCAAAACATTTTTATCAGGTCTGAGTTATGCTCACCTCATGTTCTCCATAATGAGAGACACAAGATGTGGTTGAAAGCTCTTGTGACAGATGAGTCATGTGTTGTTTATTTCAATTTTAATAGTCAATAGTTTATCTTTGTTAAAATGTTCTCTCTCATCTAAATAGTTTAATAATGAACAAAGAAAAAGAAAAGTAGATTGTGATCAGATCACCCGTGGGGGGAGTCAGAGAGGCAAAGCTTCAGATAGTTAATGATTTCAAGCTTGAAGTCCTCACTGGAAGATTAAAAACTTTCATGGATTGAAAAAAATGTGAAAAGCATCCATCTTCTGTTGGTCTTTATGATCTCATGTCTTACTAATGAATCCGTTCTAGAACTATGCTGCAAGACCTGAAGCTCTACAACAATGAGCCCTGGACCCTGCAGAGTGAACTTCATCTTATCGCTTTATGTCTGGTTGTTATTGGCTGCTCGCTGATGAATATGATGTTTCATGATCATTTGCTCCTGCTGTGTTTATGGCTGGTGTCTTCTTCTGTTGTATGCAGGACATTCATGTGTATAAGCTAAGTGTGGTGGAATGTCTTCACACCTATCTGTCAGGATCCAGGATCCCTGTCTGACCCGTTGTGTGTTACCTCTGTTTCCCCTGATCTCTTCTCCTCATGTGTCCTGTCATTCTCCTGTTTGTTATTGTGTGCCATGTGCTCTGTGTTTGTCCTCTGCCTCCAGACACCTCCCATGGCCACACCCCTGATTGTGCACAGCTGCGGACACTCCAGCCGATTACCTCCCGCAGGCTAACACACCAGACTCAGGTCCCACTAACGATTCCCCTGGCACTATATAAACTCTGGTCCTGCAGTCTGGGGTTGTTAGGTCGTACAGTCTTTCACCCGTTTCAACCCCGTATCACCTTCTGCCTCGAGCGCCTGCCTCCAGTGTCCGCCGGTCCGGGTATCCCCCGTGTACTCCGTTGTGTTAACTGACTACACACCGCCGCTCTGCCTGCCCTCCGGTGTCGAGCCACGACTCACCGCCGCTCTGCCTGCCCTCCGGTGTCGAGCCACGACTCACCGCCGCTCTGCCTGCCCTCCGGTGTCAAGCCACGACTCACCGCCGCTCTGCCTGCCCTCCGGTGTCGAGCCACGACTCACCGCCGCTCTGCCTGCCCTCCGGTGTCGAGCCACGGGACATCACGCCGTTGATCTGCCTGCCTTCCGGTGTCGAGCCATGGGACATCGCACCGTTGATCTGGCTGCCCTCCGGTGTCGGACCACGGGCTCCACACCTTCCTGTCTTTATTCTGGCTAAATAAAACCTGTTGGATCAACTTCTGTCTCCTGTGGTCTTGCTATTGGGTCCTAACTGTGAACTCCCGTGACACTGTCTACTTGAAACTTTGAAAAGCAGGGTGCAACTGTACAAAGACACCCCCCCCCCTTGTAAGTGAAAAAAAAAATGGTGTAGGTGTGTAATGTAATGTGAGTTATATAAAGGAAAACATCAGATAAATACCTTAAACATCTTTAGCATGTCGATAAAACCACAGAACTGCATGTCCTATTCCACCATGTAATTCTGGGCAAACACTTTCTAAAGCCGGCTGATTTCAAAGAACCGCCTCAATTCATCACCTCAAGTTAAATAAATTTGTTTAAAAAGATATTGGCAGCCTGGTATCCTAAATGTGTTGTTCCCATTCAACAAAACTACAGTGTTCATTTCATTCCAGAGGAAACATATTTGTTCCTGGATTACGTTTGTATTTGACACATCAAAAATGCGTTTAGTTAAAGTAAGTCTGCACAGAGAGGAGGTAGGGAGTGGATGGACAGGTCAAACACAGGACTATCAACCAGGACACTGGCGTTTGTGTCCCATGTGAAACTAGCAGTAACTAACTTACTTGAACCCAAACCATGATCTTTAACCAAACCTCAGCAGGTAGTTGTGTTGCCTAAACCTAACCGAACTGATGATGCAGTTTCAATGAGTGATTATTATAATATCGACATTAACTTCTCTAGAAATGGTGATATGACCTATATTTTTGTGTCGACATCAACATACCATGCCATGCCAACATTTTATTCTGGTAAGTGGGTTGTAACTGGCAATAGAAGCCTGCTGTATATGAACATAACCCGCAGCTGATGAGTGATGTGTGTGACATTTTCACTTCAAATTTAGGTTTTATAAAAGAATTGATGTTTTTATTTCTGGTAATAAGACAGCCGGTGTCGGCTTGTTCTGAGCTGTGATGGTGTGCTGAGAGGAGCAGATACAGATTTCACATGAAATAACCCCGAGGTGAGGGTCAACACTTTTGAATGTGCACTTTCCCTCTGCTGTGTGTTCAGGATGAGGGCTGCCCTGCTGCTGCTGCTAGTCACTCTCATCACGGTCAAAAGTGTAGCTGGAGGGAAAAACAAGAAAGGTAGGATTCTCTCTCCCTGTCCTGCCTGCTCTCTTCTCTTTCATATGTGTCATGTTACAATAAACTATATGTTCCTGCAAATATTGATTGCTGAAGCCCAAATCTCATTGAATGTCTCTACACAGCTGACAATATCTCCACATTTCTATTTTAGTGTGGGATGAATTTGGGATTTACAGCTATACACAGTGGAGCTGAGGGCATGGATTTTAATGTTGTACTGCATATTGCTACCTATAGGTCCATTGTTACAACATTCCATCATTCCCAAAAAGAAGAGATGAGACGATATGGCATGTGCCAAAATGTGCTAAACATTCAAGATATAGTATCCCAAACGTGTTATTAATGCAACTTTGTCTCCCTCCCTGTGAATAAGGCCGCTGTTGAAAGCAGCTTACAGTAATACTAATGCTAACTAACCCCAGCTGCCACAGGAAGCACATTCAGCAGGCAGATCAGAGTAATGAGGCGTTGTCACTGAGCAACGCTTTCTAACTGCTCACACTTTCAACTATGCTCTTCACAGAGGATTGGTTCACTTCTGCCTCAAACAGAAAGCCTAAGCAGCGCACCATTTGAAGGAATATTTCAACAATACGGTTACTTGCTTTGTTTTTGACTGAGATAATAAGATGAATATCAAAGCTGGAAGCTGGTTCCACAGGAGAGGAGCTCGGTAGCGGAAGGCTCTGGTTCCCGTTCTACAGCTCTCTAGTGGGGTAATATAGAACTAGATCACTTTAAGATATGAAGGAGCCTGTGCGGAGAAGGATTTTAAATTATATTCTGGGTTTTAGTGGGAGCCAGTAGGAATCATAGTATTTTATTAGTACCTGATTTATTCAACAAAATGAAACCTTTCGTCTATGAAAAGTTAAGAGACTAAAAGTGTAAATTAATCAAGTTTTTGGGTTAAAACGTGTTCAATCATTTCAAAGCTTATGTGACATTGCATAGTGGAGGTTGATGCATACAGTTCTTACACTTACACCATCTATCACACCACCAGTCAATAGGAGTCACAAGTGTAGTGGCAAATGTCTCTGGACACCTTGAGTGAGAAGCAGACTGGTTGAACCAGCTGGAGTAGTCATTGAATTTGTGGATTGCATGATGAAATAATATTGAACCTATGCATGTCTGATTATTCTATCCTCAGAGAAAAACAAACCCTCCCAGTCCGGGTCAGAATGCACTGACTGGCGCTATGGCAACTGTGTCCCTAGCAACGGGGACTGTGGAGCAGGGTTTAGAGAGGGGTCATGTGACCAGCAGAACAACAGGATGAAATGTAGAGTACCATGCAACTGGAAAAAAGAATTTGGAGGTAACGCACGCACGCGCACATACACACACACGCGCGCACAAACACACGCACAAACACACGCACACGCACACACACACACACACACACACAGTGCAGGTGAAATAAGGAAAGGTAGATTGTGTGTATTTCAGTAACATTTGCTGTATTTCCCAGGCCTACCACACACTGACTGCATAGTACAGAGGTAGTGGAAACAACAGCACACCACCTGGAACATATGATGCAATCCAGAACAGCAGCACTGCATGAATATAAATACCTCTGTGTAGCTATAATGATACCATTGTGTTGATAGTGTGTCAGCGAAGATTCTACTAGAAACAAATGTTTATGACATACTTTGTGGTGAGATGCCTGAAGCTTGTACTCTGAAGACAGGAAGTGTTTTTTACATGACTCTCTTAAAGGAGACCTGCACTGTTATTAGTATTAGTATTAGTCTCACATCACTATTAGTCGTATTAGTCTCACATCACTTCTGCAGTACAGTAACACTGACTATTTTACACAAGTTTGAGATGAGCTTGATCTTCAAGTTCTCAATTTTAAAACCAGAATCGGTAAAAAAGACTTGAAAGGCCTGAATCGGTGCTGCTCTATTGGAAACGTGTCTTGAGATAACTGTGATTCAGGTATCTCCTGTGTGACTTCTCTCTTCCAGCTGACTGCAAGTATCGGTTCGGTAGTTGGGGAGAGTGTGATCCAAGCTCTGGCTCGCGGACCAGAATGGGGACATTGAAGAAGGCTCTGTATAATGCGGAGTGTCAACAGACTATTTCTGTCTCCAAACCTTGCAGTGGAAAAACCAAGACAAAAAGCAAAGGTTAGACTGGCGAGTTGACGGCAGGTTGTTTCTTTACCTCTGGGAAGAAGAACAAACTGTGAGGTGATGTTGCTCCTTAGCAGCCATGTTTGAGCTTTTCTTGTCTTGGCAACATTCAGCCATCTCCACCTCTGTGGATCATGCATGAATGATTTGTTTCTACGGTGAGTCTACAGCCATGCTAGCAGCTCTGTGAGGCTGTACTGAGGCACAGTTATGCTCTGAGTCAAACAGCAACATTCTAACAGTAACATGCTGGTGTACAGCAGGTATAATATGTATCATGTTTACCATCTTAATTCAATTAACGTCTTTGCATGCTAACATTTGCTTACCAGCACTAATCACAGTAAAGTGCTGCTGAGGCCGACAGTAATGTCATCAGCTCTGCAGGTAAGCACTTTTACAGCTGAACACCACTTATAAATAGAAATATTTCAACATAGCTCTTCACTGCAACTCATTGAGCTAAATCCTGAAGATGAACCCTGAGAACCTTTGAGCAATCTTCAGTGTGTTCTGTCCAGCACTTTTGATATCTTAACTTTGGGGCCTCTCCTGAGGACCATTTGTGCAGTTTGTCACTTCTGTCATGTTCTTCTGCAATTACAGACCAGTATTTTGTGAATCAATGGTGTAATGTTTGTGCCTATGTTTCTCTTTTTTCCAGGAAAGAAGAGAAACGGCCAGGTCAACTAAAGGCAGGCTGTGGTAAAGAGTCTTCAGAGTCTAAGAAGAGTACTGGTCTAAACCAGCTGACAGCTGCACAGTGACCCCAACACTTAGAATTGTTGCCTAGACACTGTTTTGAATACAGGTTTCTTCAACCACTGAATCTCTATAGGACTAATAAAGTAAGCATGGCCTGGAGCATTATAACCAACTGCTTCCAAATCTAAGTGCATTTGGAATATTCATATTATACTTTTTTTAAACCACCATGTTATCAATTTCTTTAACTTTGAAATATTGTATAAAATGTTCCCCATCTCTATGTGACCGTCACTGCTTCCAAACCTTTTCTGGGCCTCCACTCCACCAGAGCTTCACTGGGAATGGGAGCTATTTAAACTCCCAGTTGTCTCAGCCGGTCTCAATTGTTTAGTTATTCTTGCATGTGTCAGTATCATCCACACACAAACTGTCTACTTTGTGTTTCATTGTGTCCTAATAAACGCAGCCATCCGGTTTTAATAATTCCAATCAGCACGGTTACTTGTAGATAAAAGTGCATTTGGAATATCAGTTTATAAATTTGCCTTAGGACACACAAGCCCACCGTTATACATTTCTTTCACTTCTTTCCCTTGTTCCTCCTACTAAAGAATAGCCTTTCCATTTCTCCTGTAGAAGGCTTGCTGCAACAGTAATATTTCCACTTTTCTTTTGTTTATTAAAGTTTCACAACATGGTGTGACATTGTGTCTTTTTTGTATTATTACAGACTTTTCTAGACCTGTAAGCACACTGTATCTATCTTCTTCTGAACAGGTTTTATCCATTATGGATCCCAGTACTGTGACTGGCCCAATGCACCCCTTACTTCTCATAAATAACTAGGGCCAGGGGCCATAGGGCCCCAATACCAACTTTAAGATCACAGACCCTCAGTAAGGGAGAGTAGCATTGAAATCTCCTTTTGCACTTGACACAGACTTGAAATGTTCCACATAGTGACTGTGAGATCCTTTCTTAAAAAGGTACCTGCATCACTGGTGTTAACACTGACAGAGGGTTGAGGTCCCAGGGTTGATACACATATTGTAGTTGACGAGACTAAACTAAAGATTTAGGTTTAGTCTTTATGTATAGCGTGGACTAATCTCAAGCTGGGTCTCGTCGGGTGGAGGGTAAGAAGGTCTGTGCTGTTTGGTTCAAGTGTGCCATGACCTTCTGACCTTGATATGAATTAGGTTTGTGAGCAGAGTCTCTAAAATAATAAACATTATAGTTAGATATTCATCACACAGTTGGGTTCAGAAGGACACTAAACAAACAAGAGGCTGATCTTCAGTGTATATAATGTCACAATAACATATTCCAATGCTGACATGCTGAGTCAGTTTTTTGTGATATATTTTACATGAAAAGTAGTTCGCAAGTGAGCTCAGATGTTTACCACTGTTGTACTTTGGTTTCGAACAAATTATTGAACCATATCTGCGTTGATGTAAGAATAATGTGAATAAGTTCAATATTAGATTCAACTCAACGTTTGGGATATTAGGCCAGTAGTTAAGCTCGGTTTTGCGTGCTTCGTCAAGTGTGTTGTGGTCATGGAGGTTTGTAACAGAGGTGGCGACTAACAGGATGTGTGGCAAGGAGGATTTTTTTGTTTATTCTATTAATTATATTTATTTATTTTCTGGTGGAGGAAAGCCGAGTGTTTAGACCATGTGCTGGGTTTGAGGAAGGTAGCGTGACGGTGAGTAGTCGTCTAGGACGGTGATTTTCAACCACTGTGCCCGGCACGCCAGTGTGCCGTGGGAAATATCCAATTTCACTTAATTGGTCCGAAAATATATATATACATATATAATTAATATACATATTAATTAGCTGCTGCAAATAATTTGCCATAGTTGAGCATCTGAGTCTGTGATATAGTGGCTATTAAGTACTCTTCCGTGTGCCAGTGTGTGGCGGTAGGTAGCGCAATAATGACGTTAATTTTAAGTAGAAATAAGTGATGCGCGGGAGAGGTTGCGGTGACAAGACGTTTGTTGAGATCCGGCAGAGTGCTTCGGATAAGCGATCGGAAATTTTCGGGCTGCTCTTGGACGGACGCATGGCGGAGTAATACGCACCCTTCCAAGGAAACCAAAAAGGTACCAGTAGTTGGGTTTGGTGGGAAGGACTTTGAAGGCGCTGGTGATGTCTGCCTTGGGTGACCGGCTTCTTGGCCTGCGAGGCGGATGGGGGGCGTGGCGTGATCAATTCTTATGTACTACATGGAGTAGTCCAGGCTGGGAATTAGGTGGAGCCTGGTGATGTCTGGGCAGGTGGGGAGTGGCTGTTTGAGTGCAGCAGTCGAACTTGGTTAGCAATTCCCAGGAGATGTGGGGATTGCCTGTGGATGGATCGATGATTGAGCGAGGTCGATGTAGTTACCGGTGAGAATCTGTTGCCTGAACGTGTGGCACAGGGGATGATCGAGCGGAAGCAACTGCTGTTGCTAAAGTGAAACTGGTAGGTGGGATAAGTCGGAAGGATGCTGGAACTGTCTACTGGCGGAGCTGTGTAAATGAGGAGAAGCATTTTAAGTGGGATGGGCAACGCTAGTCAGAATCAGAATCAGAATCAGAACCGTTTATTGCCAAGGAAGTTTGCACCTACAAGGAATTTGTCGTGGCGGGTGGTGCGTAACATTTAACAATAAACAATAACATTAAACTATCAACAATCAACACAGTGCAAGAAATAGAAACATATTAAAATTTACTAATAAAATATAAAATATAAAATAAAGTGCACAACAAAACAGATAACAGGACTGTAAAACAAGTGAAGTAAGTGAAATGTTAAAAGTGATGTGTGTTTAAATAAAGAAACAGGAATGTGCAGGGGAGAGACCAGAAGGAAATGTCCTGGGGATGACAGAGTCAGTGGGGGACCCGGGCTTTGTTAATGAGCCCGACTGCGGACGGGAAGAAACTGTTTGTGTGGCGTGAGGTCTTGGTCCTGATGGACCGCAGCCTCCTGCCAGATGGAAGGGGCACAAACAGATCATGTCCAGGGTGAGAGGGGTCGGCTACAATCTTTCTTGCTCGCTTCAGGGTCCTTGAAGCGAACAGGTCCTGGAGGGATGGCAGATTGCAGCCAATCACCCTCTCAGCAGAGCGAATCTCTGCAGTCTGTCCTTGGCAGTGGCTGCAGCGTACCAGACTGTGATGGAGGAGCAGAGGATGGACTCAATGATGGCTGTGTAGAAATGCACCATCTTTGTCTTTGGCAGGTTGAATTTCTTCAGCTGCCTCAGGAATTACATCCTCTGCTGGGCCTTCTTTGTGATGGAGCTGATGTTCAGCTCCCACTTGAGGTCCTGGGATATGATGGATGAAGTTTGGGGAAAAACATTGCAAGGTGAGATGTCTCTGGCACGGAGGGAGTTTGAGGTGGGTGGTATACGACCTGGCCCTCTGGAGGGACTGATATAAATGGCTGGGCTTCTTCGGTGCGTGCCTGACGTGGCGCGGGGAACCCGGAAGTATTGTGCTGCGAGAGCTTGAATAGTTTGAAAGTTGTGCTTTTTTAACAGACTGATGTAAAGGAATGCTGCGTTGGATGATTGCGTTCTTCAGTTGAGAGGCTGTCCACTCGGAGAAGTGGGATATGTAGAGACTGTCGGAGCATCGAAATGGTGAATGAGGGTCTCGGTGGTTTCACTGGTCGGTCGAGTGCCTGGATCTCCGGCGGTCGGGAGAGCGGCGTGGGGGTGTTAAGGGATGAAGGGGTGAAGGGATGAGGGGATTAGGGTCGAGGGATGGGATGCCGAAATCGGATCTCCCGGGCTGTTGGATGGCGGGCGACTTCGGAGTTGATGGAGAATGGTTATCGAGAGCCGCAGGGAACGTGGATGGCCAAACGCAGCCGAGGTTGCTGGCAATGAAGCGTGGCGAGAGAAGGAGGGAGCTCCGGGACTTCGGGATATGGCTGGTCTTCCGGAAGGTTGAGAAAGAGCCTTTGTGCAAGGCAAGCGGTTTTAAGATTTTGCTCGTCTGTCGTACGTCATGTTGAAGCTGAGTCAAAGAGCGTTTGTTAGGCTGTCGTGTTGAAGCAGAGTTGAAGTTTGTTTGTTTGTCTGTCGTACATCGTGTGAAAGCAGAGTCGAAGAGGAAGTGAACAGGAAATGAGCTGTGTTCAGGGCGTGGTCCATGTTCCGGAACTAAGTTTATAAAACTAAATTTAAACACCATCTGTGTAATGATTACAAGTACTTGCGCACGGGAACCCAAAAGCACGACACAGAGACAGAATACAAGTATAGTTTGATTCACTTGCGTTCAGGGGAGGGTCAAAACCTGGAGGTCAGTCAATAAGGCAAACAAATCCAACAAGAGGCAGGCAGAGAATCCAAGTCGAAAAAACAGGCAGGCAGGGTCGGAACAGGCAGATCAGATAAAACCAGGATAACACTGGAGAGCTTGGCAGTGACACACAAGACAATCTGGCAGGGATCAGGTGCAAGTGAGTGGACCTAAATAGTGATTGTGAAGCCCCTTGATTTCTGATATTGGGCTGTAGAAATGGACAATGGACAATGGACTTTCCTTCTACTGATTGTGATGTTGATGATATGGTGTCATGCCTCCTGTAAAACACATAGCTCATATGCACATCCAGAGCATATGAGCACAGTACATACACACACTTACACACACCTGTGTCACTCTGTCTTTGATGTAGGTTAGAGAAGAAAGCCTTCATCAATAAATAAACAGCTCCCTGCAGCAATGATTTATTGCTGCTGTCTTTATTTCATCCACAGCTTCCACACATGTAGTTTATCCTGATGTTTGTGAAGTCTGCTGAACTTTGTATTGTTTCACACATTCTCTTTTATTTCTTTAGATTTTGTATGACGTACCATCCAACTCACTCATAAAAAACCAGTCACTGTGTTTGATCCTCTTTCTGCATGCTGTGTCCCTGTTCTTTTCTTGATTCTACTTTTGATTTGTTACTATTTGGTCCTGAACTTCTAATGATCGCATTTGTCTTCCATGCATATATGTATTACATACCTTTCATTTTAACTGGTCACTACAAGTACACTCAACACAGTCTCACAGCAGTTCATGAAATAGTCACAAAATGCAACCTATTGGTTTTGTGCTGAGCCAGTCCATTTCTTTTGCGTTGCTAGGCATTACTTGTTTTTCAGGACGTCATACACTACAAAACAAAACGTAGGTTTAGGAACCGAAACCACTCAGTTTAGGAAAACCGCCAGAAACACGTCACTTCACATCGACGCTTTCAGATACCAAGTGTTGAACACCAGTCCAGTGTTTGTCGGACCCATTGGTACACTACAGATTTTCCAGTGTCTTCTTGTTGTATTGATAAGTTATTTATTCATTTTTCAAAAGGTTTGGTTGTTACAGGATGATAGGAGTTGACAAACATTTCTATGGCCTCAGTTTGAAAGTTGACCAGGTTCATAAGGTGAGGCAAGATGATGTGCTTTGTATGAAACCACCATGAAGACTGTAAGTGGAATGTTGGGCAACACCAAGAAAGTTACACACAATTACCCAAGCTCCAAAGCTCCCATGTGATTGTTCAATGATTAAACAAATGTATGTTTAATGTAAGGAAAATATCATATTATTCGATGTAAAAGTATATTTTAGTGGTGAAAAGAAAAGTATGTCCGATCACTTAGATACTGCAGAGATAAGTAGGTTCAATCTC